ATCTCCTTAAATAACGCTCTAATCGCGATTTGGGGGGTGTTCAGATGCTCGAAATTTTCATACCCAAATTTCCCAGTGTTAAATATTCCATAAATCATTATTTGTTGGGCGCTGGGTTTCCCAAACCTTTAAATCGATTTATCTCCTTAAATAACGCTCTAATCGCGATTTGGGGGGTGTTCAGATGCTCGAAATTTTCATACCAAAATATCCCAGTATAAAATATTTCATAAATCATTATTTGTCGGCCGCTGGGTTTCCCAAACCTTTAAATCGATTTATCTCCTTAAATAACGCTCTAATCGCGATTTGGGGGGTGTTCAGATGCTCGAAATTTTCATACCCAAATATCCCAGGGTAAAATATTTCATAAATCATTATTTGTCGGCCGCTGGGTTTTCCAAACCTTTAAATCGATTTATCTCCTTAAATAACGCTCTAATCGCGATTTAGGGGGTGTTCAGATGCTCGAAATTTTCATACCCAAATTTCCCAGGATAAAATATTTCATAAATCATTAATTTGTTGGGCGCTGGGTTTCCCAAACCTTTAAATCGATTTATCTCCTTAAATAACGCTCTAATCGCGATTTAGGGGGTGTTCAGATGCTCGAAATTTTCGTACTCAAATTTCTCAGTATAAAATATTTCATAAATCATTATTTGTCGGCCGCTGGGTTTCCCAAACCTTTAAATCGATTTATCTCCTTAAATAACGCTCTAATCGCGATTTGGGGAGTGTTCAGATGCTCGAAATTTTCATACCCAAATTTTCCAGGATAAAATATTTCATAAATCATTATTTGTCGGCCGCTGGGTTTCCCAAACCTTTAAATCGATTTATCTCCTTAAATAACGCTTTAATCGCGATTTGGGGGGTGTTCAGATGCTCGAAATTTTCATACCCAAATTTCCGAGGATAAAATATTTCATAAATCATTATTTGTCGGCCGCTGGGTTTCCCAAACCTTTAAATCGATTTATCTCCTTAAATAACGCTCTAATCGCGATTTGGGGGGTGTTCAGATGCTCGAAATAAGAGATGAACTAGCCTCAGGCTAAAAATCTCTAAAATAAAGATTTAAAAAAAAAAAAAAAAAGATGCTCGAAATTTTCATACCCAAATTTCCCAGGATAAAATATTTCATAAATCATTAATTTGTTGGGCGCTGGGTTTCCCAAACCTTTAAATCGATTTATCTCCTTAAATAACGCTCTAATCGCGATTTGGGGGGTGTTCAGATGCTCGAAATTTTCATACCCAAATATCCCAGGATAAAATATTTCATAAATCATTATTTGTCGGCCGCTGGGTTTTCCAAACCTTTAAATCGATTTATCTCCTTAAATAACGCTCTAATCGCGATTTAGGGGGTGTTCAGATGCTCGAAATTTTCATACCCAAATTTCCCAGGATAAAATATTTCATAAATCATTAATTTGTTGGGCGCTGGGTTTCCCAAACCTTTAAATCGATTTATCTCCTTAAATAACGCTCTAATCGCGATTTGGGGGGTGTTCAGATGCTCGAAATTTTCATACCAAAATATCCCAGTATAAAATATTTCATAAATCATTATTTGTCGGCCGCTGGGTTTCCCAAACCTTTAAATCGATTTATCTCCTTAAATAACGCTCTAATCGCGATTTGGGGGGTGTTCAGATGCTCGAAATTTTCATACCCAAATTTCCGAGGATAAAATATTTCATAAATCATTATTTGTCAGCCGCTGGGTTTCCCAAACCTTTAAATCGATTTATCTCCTTAAATAACGCTCTAATCGCGATTTGGGGGGTGTTCAGATGCTCGAAATTTTCATACCCAAATATCCCAGGATAAAATATTTCATAAATCATTATTTGTCGGCCGCTGGGTTTTCCAAACCTTTAAATCGATTTATCTCCTTAAATAACGCTCTAATCGCGATTTAGGGGGTGTTCAGATGCTCGAAATTTTCATACCCAAATTTCCCAGGATAAAATATTTCATAAATCATTAATTTGTTGGGCGCTGGGTTTCCCAAACCTTTAAATCGATTTATCTCCTTAAATAACGCTCTAATCGCGATTTGGGGGGTGTTCAGATGCTCGAAATTTTCATACCAAAATATCCCAGTATAAAATATTTCATAAATCATTATTTGTCGGCCGCTGGGTTTCCCAAACCTTTAAATCGATTTATCTCCTTAAATAACGCTCTAATCGCGATTTGGGGGGTGTTCAGATGCTCGAAATTTTCATACCCAAATTTCCCAGTATGAAATATTTCATAAATCATTAATTTGTTGGGCGCTGGGTTTCCCAAACCTTTAAATCGATTTATCTCCTTAAATAACGCTCTAATCGCGATTTGGGGGGTGTTCAGATGCTCGAAATTTTCATACCCAAATATCCCAGGATAAAATATTTCATAAATCATTATTTGTCGGCCGCTGGGTTTTCCAAACCTTTAAATCGATTTATCTCCTTAAATAACGCTCTAATCGCGATTTGGGGGGTGTTCAGATGCTCGAAATTTTCATACCCAAATTTCCCAGCATAAAATATTTCATAAATCATTATTTGTCGGCCGCTGGGTTTCCCAAACCTTTAAATCGATTTATCTCCTTAAATAACGCTCTAATCGCGATTTGGGGGGTGTTCAGATGCTCGAAATTTTCATACCCAAATTTCCGAGGATAAAATATTTCATAAATCATTATTTGTCGGGCGCTGGGTTTCCAAAACCTTTAAATCGATTTATCTCCTTAAATAACGCTCTAATCGCGATTTGGGGGGTGTTCAGATGCTCGAAATTTTCATACCCAAATTTCCCAGCATAAAATATTTCATAAATCATTATTTGTCGGCCGCTGGGTTTCCCAAACCTTTAAATCGATTTATCTCCTTAAATAACGCTCTAATCGCGATTTGGGGGGTGTTCAGATGCTCGAAATTTTCATACCCAAATTTCCGAGGATAAAATATTTCATAAATCATTATTTGTCGGGCGCTGGGTTTCCAAAACCTTTAAATCGATTTATCTCCTTAAATAACGCTCTAATCGCGATTTGGGGGGTGTTCAGATGCTCGAAATTTTCGTACTCAAATTTCTCAGTATAAAATATTTCATAAATCATTATTTGTCGGCCGCTGGGTTTCCAAAACCTTTAAATCGATTTATCTCCTTAAATAACGCTCTAATCGCGATTTGGGGGGTGTTCAGATGCTCGAAATTTTCATACCCAAATTTCCGAGGATAAAATATTTCATAAATCATTATTTGTCGGCCGCTGGGTTTCCCAAACCTTTAAATCGATTTATCTCCTTAAATAACGCTCTAATCGCGATTTGGGGGGTGTTCAGATGCTCGAAATTTTCATACCCAAATTTCCGAGGATAAAATATTTCATAAATCATTATTTGTCAGCCGCTGGGTTTCCCAAACCTTTAAATCGATTTATCTCCTTAAATAACGCTCTAATCGCGATTTGGGGGGTGTTCAGATGCTCGAAATTTTCATACCCAAATTTCCCAGCATAAAATATTTCATAAATCATTATTTGTCGGCCGCTGGGTTTCCCAAACCTTTAAATCGATTTATCTCCTTAAATAACGCTCTAATCGCGATTTGGGGGGTGTTCAGATGCTCGAAATTTTCATACCCAAATTTCCGAGGATAAAATATTTCATAAATCATTATTTGTCGGGCGCTGGGTTTCCAAAACCTTTAAATCGATTTATCTCCTTAAATAACGCTCTAATCGCGATTTGGGGGGTGTTCAGATGCTCGAAATTTTCGTACTCAAATTTCTCAGTATAAAATATTTCATAAATCATTATTTGTCGGCCGCTGGGTTTCCAAAACCTTTAAATCGATTTATCTCCTTAAATAACGCTCTAATCGCGATTTGGGGGGTGTTCAGATGCTCGAAATTTTCGTACTCAAATTTCTCAGTATAAAATATTTCATAAATCATTATTTGTCGGCCGCTGAGTTTCCCAAACCTTTAAATCGATTTATCTCCTTAAATAACGCTCTAATCGCGATTTAGGGGGTGTTCAGATGCTCGAAATTTTCGTACTCAAATTTCTCAGTATAAAATATTTCATAAATCATTATTTGTCGGCCGCTGGGTTTCCCAAACCTTTAAATCGATTTATCTCCTTAAATAACGCTCTAATCGCGATTTGGGGAGTGTTCAGATGCTCGAAATTTTCATACCCAAATTTTCCAGGATAAAATATTTCATAAATCATTATTTGTCGGCCGCTGGGTTTCCCAAACCTTTAAATCGATTTATCTCCTTAAATAACGCTTTAATCGCGATTTGGGGGGTGTTCAGATGCTCGAAATTTTCATACCCAAATTTCCGAGGATAAAATATTTCATAAATCATTATTTGTCGGCCGCTGGGTTTCCCAAACCTTTAAATCGATTTATCTCCTTAAATAACGCTCTAATCGCGATTTGGGGGGTGTTCAGATGCTCGAAATTTTCATACCCAAATTTCCCAGTGTTAAATATTTCATAAATCATTATTTGCCGGCCGCTGGCTTTCCCAAACCTTTAAATCGATTTATCTCCTTAAATAACGCTCTAATCGCGATTTGGGGGGTGTTCAGATGCTCGAAATTTTCATACCCAAATTTCCCAGGATAAAATATTTCATAAATCATTATTTGTCGGCCGCTGGGTTTCCCAAACCTTTAAATCGATTTATCTCCTTAAATAACGCTCTAATCGCGATTTGGGGGGTGTTCAGATGCTCGAAATTTTCATATCAAAATTTCCCAGTATAAAATATTTCATAAATCATTATTTGTCGGCCGCTGGCTTTCTCAAACCTTTAAATCGATTTATCTCCTTAAATAACGCTCCAATCGCGATTTGGGGGGTGTTCAGATGATTGTAAATTTTATACCTATGAAATAAATAGAACTTTACCAAAGATGTACTAAAATAACTTAGTTTGTGAACATATGATTTATTGGGTTGCAGTTTTTGATGAAGCTGCAAAACGACTGCAGTCGTCCTCCTACACTTATACATCCCGCTTCGCATGCACGATCTGCTACACCTGCACAAAGGGGCGCATGCCATGAGCAATGTGGTGAGTTTCCGCTTCTCACCTCACAGCACTGTGCTTTCATCGCTAAATTGCACAATTTGATTGTTGTTGTTGCTCGATGGGCCATTTTTGCCGGCATCTTTGATCGCTGTTGATGGCTTCGTTGGCTGCTGTTGACTTTGCTCATTCTCGACGTGATAGCGCTCCAGCCTATCCACCAGACTACCAAATTCGAAAGGGCGTTTGTCGAGGAGATTTTCTGAAAATATTTTGCATTCGTTATTCCACATTTAGACCGTTTGTTTCTTTGCATAGGTCATTCTCACTGACCGTTGCTGTTATAATTGGTTCCATCGGAATATTCCTTCGCTGAGCAGTTGGGCGCATCGCTCGGGGTGGTTTGGTTGAATTGGGAAATGTTGGTTACGTAGCTCTGCTTTTCTTTGCTGAAGAACAGGACCGGTTCAAATCGCCGACCCCACAAGATTTCCGTGTTCAAATAGCTGGACCTGGCTTGGGTGCTCTGGCCGGTAGATTCGATGGTTCCCTCCAGGACGACCACGATTTCGAACCTCTCGTGCAGCAGCTCGTGCGGACTCAGGTTCCAGAGGGGTGATTCGGCGTTTATCCGGTGCACCACGACCTGTGGCCAGATGAAGAACAAATCCGAACCACATCCGTCGACGGACAGTTCCAGTTCGCTTTGATATTGTGGCATACTTTCACCTTCGCAACTGGTTCGACCCCGGATCAACTGTGCCCGGATATTGGCTCCGATGATGTGACTCTTGCGTAGGTCTCCAACGCGGAACATCAGGCAGAGATCTCCATCGCGCATCGATATGACAGCACACTTGGAGAAGAGCAGGGTTTGCGAACGACTCTTGGGGCGAGTCATCTTGGCGAAGATGATGCCGGCCAGAAGGGCTTGGATCATGACTCCGTGGATGGATTGCATGCTCATGACAAAGATTGCTTCCGGGCATTCCTCGGTGGTGGCTCGATTGCCGTAGCCAATGGTGTGCTGGGTTTCCAGCGAGAACAGAAAGCAGGACGTGTACGTGTAGATGTTGCTGATGCAGGGGATCCACCCGGTTGATTCCTGGTTGTGTGGGAGATTTTCTTCGTCCAGATCACCGTGAATCAGGCAGATGAACCAGTAGAGTAGGGCGAAGAATAACCACGAGCACACGAACCCCAGCGCGAACACCATCAACGTGTAGCGCCATCGGGCGTCGACTAGGGTCGTGAATAGGTCGACCAGGAAGCGCAGTCGCCGGTTGGAGCCCGCTAGGAGAGCTATGTTGCAGGAGCCATTTTTGAACACAGCCCGGCGGTGGACGCGGTGGGCGAAGACACTCGGCCGGTAGCCTCGGGGTCTGTTGTTGTAAGGGGAGATATGAAATTAGAATCATCGTTAGAATTGATGTGCACAAGGGTGGGTCAACGAGAGATATTGGAGGTCCCCAACAACTGTGCCAAATTTCAGCGAATCTGGTTATGATATGGATTTGCGGGAGAACTTAAAAGTTTGTATGGGAAAATGTATGAGCAACGGAACGGAACTATTCGTTTGCTTGTCAAAAATTAACCAAACCTGAACTATCGATTGGAAAAACTATGCGCATACTTACAAGCTCATAAATAAGACAGTAAGTATGCGTGCAGCACTTGAGCTAAAGTAAAACGGTTAATAACTTTTTAGAAGAAGTTCTGTATAGTTTTCCCAATAATAATCTAAGGTTTCACTATTATTATACTATACAAACGACGTTGGATCAATAGCTGCGCTATGCTAAAATCTTGGAACTGCAGGCAACAGCCATCAACCATTGGCAGAAGATTCTCCCCCGGATGATCGTTGAGCAATTTATCCGACTGGGGTGCTACGAAACAGTCGAACCGTGAACCATTTTCAGTCGTGGTATCTCCAATTAGGATATTTTTCAAACAATCCACGGGTTTGATCGGTACCTGGCTAACTATAGAAAATCAAAGCTGAAAAGGACAATCGTCTAATGACGGTAAGACCCCCTAAAATCAGAGTTGTGAGGAAATGCTATTCTTATAAAGCCATTCCGTAGCAAAACGATATAGTGGTTCTCAGAATTTCGTAAAAAATGGTAGTTTTGTTCCTTATCGCAAATATAAGGTCCACACATTTAAAAAAAAAATCTGGTAAATTTAGGTGCTCTGAGACTGACTTATACGTGCAACACTTTTGACATACAATTCAGTAATAGCAGACGTGACATTAAGCTCAATCAACCGTACTTTTCGAAGAGTAACGAATTTTTCAGTCTGGGAGCACTTAGTTTTACATTGGATGATCGAAGTAGGCCGCGCTGCGAAAATGACGTGTTTTTGTTTTGCTGCGTCGTTTTCGTTCTAGTGAAAATTTGATAAATTTACCGTTTCATTTTTAAAAAGTGTTAAACTGAAAGTACAGAAGTGATGTTGAAAAGTGCATTAGGTGAAAATTTTCAAATTCTTATCCGTTGCATGTGGTGCCGACTGTTCTAACCTACGCGTTTATTTACCTTTTCGTTCCTCTGTCCTCGATAGGAAATATCCATCTAATTATACCTAATTATATCTAATATCCATCTAACTATTATCTTATTATCGATAATGTATTGGAGCGGGGCTTATCATGTGTGAAAATAGCTTCGGAATGCTTGCGTTATTGAAATGGGCTATTGTAGCTGCGGTAGAGCTGTCACCTTCTAACTCCCAGGTCAAGCTTCTTTGCATTCATAAGAAATGATTGCAGGCGGCAGATTTTATCCATAATGCCACTGCCAGACAGTGGGAGTTAGGCCAAGGACGAATCTTCATTCTAGTCTACGATTCCACATAAACTTTTACACTTGAGCACCTCCTATCGATCAGAATGAATTGTGCATATGTTTACGATCAACAAACATTTTCAGGAGCAAAGGAGCAACAGGATCGAGCTGATAACGTTTCTTAATTCCAAAATATGAACTTTCGAACTTCGTTCAATTTAAGTTTTCACTTCAAATTGGCCGTCTGGTCGAATGTCGTGTATTGGCTGAAACCTTGAAGTTTAGTAATGGATTTTAAATCTTTAAATATTTTGAATTGGAATGCTCGATATCTTAAAGGTAATGGAGACGAGCTATTTAACTTTTTGAGAGATCGCCGTTACACGGAGAACAAATTATAGCAGACGCAATTATTTTTCCGGCTAAAATAACTATATTGTTCAATTGTTTTATAGATAACCCGAAACTATAGTTGATTTGACTATATATAGAGGGCAACAACTATAGTTCATAGTTGGCTCCTTGGTTGGCTCAACTATATTTTTCAGTAGATGAACAAACGTCAAACTTCAAAATACAACTATGCTTTAGTTGATTCAAGAAAACTATTGTTAGTAAAGCTAAATTTTACAATGTTTATTAAACGAACTGCTCTTCATTATCGACATATTAAGTTTGTTTTGCTTCTTTATCGATCGCACACAACTGCAAAATCATAAAAAAGTGAACAAGAACATTCAGCTTTGATTTGAACCGTGTTCATCTGCATGAGAGCCAGTTATCTTATCGCCTGCTCTACGCATCACAAGTTAAAAGTATGTGGATTTATGATGATCACTTGAAACCAAATTATATAAATAAATTACATTTAACGGTTGTTATAATTGCTCAAAGTTATAGTTGAATTGAGTATAAGATGAACAGTTGAATCTATTAGGTAGATATTATTGAGTTGACGGTCAAATTAGTGTTAGAATAACTATAGGTTTCTTTCAAACAACAATATTTTTCCATATAAAAGTAACTATTAGGATTGTTATCTTAACATAACGAATTTGTTCTCCGTGATATAACTGAATCGTTCCTTAAACCTGATCATAAGGTTAAGAGGGACGCATTTTTTTTTTTATTTATCGAAATGATAGTCTTGATGGAGCACAACATGCTTTTCTTTAGTAAGAAATCCCTCAACTATTGATTTGGTCTAAACTGATTCGTGTAAACTTTGTAGCCAATTGATCACCCATGCTGGTTTTGGTTCGGATCACCTTCCCGTAACTTTTGAAATATCCCAAGAAATAATTTCTTATCCCAACAGCTCTTGTGTCAATTACCATAGTGTTAATTGGAAGTAACGTCGAACATTTATGGAATATAACTGTGATACAAATATTCCTTTGGAAACCAAAGATGAAATTAATCATGCTCTTGAATCGCTGACTACTTCTATACTTGAAGCAAGACCTGGCTCAGTACCAAAATGTGAGGTTAAATTCAATTCAATTATAATAGACGACGATCTTCAGCTCTTGATACGTCTGAAAAATGTCCGTAGTAGACAATATCAAAGAACACGGGATCCTGCCATGAAAGTTATCTGGCGGGATTTGCAAAAACAAATTAAAAAGCGATCCTCTGCCCTGGAAAACAAAACTTTTGAAAATAATGTTTCGAAATTAGACCCGAGTCCCAAACTCTTTTGGAAGCTCACAAACATTTTGAAAATACCTCAAAAGCCTATTCCAGCGCTTAAAAAAGGTGGTAAAATTTTGTTCACAAATTCGGAAAAAGCTCAGAAACTTGCTAAGTAATTCGAGAGTTCCCATAATTCCAGTTTGGGTCTTGTGAGTCCTATTGAGAATCAGGTTGCTCGGGATTATCTGAATATTCTCTCTGGGCAAAGTTCGTTTGATGATTCCTGGGGAACTGATTTGGACGAATTAAGATCTATAACTAAAAAATTTCAAAATATGAAAGCTCCAGGTGATGATGGAATTTTCTATATCCTAATCAAAAACTCCCAGAGAGTACCATGCAGTCTTGTAAGCGGTCACGGTAGTCGACACATTTTCTGTGATAATTGACTGCCTTTGCCTCCGACACTTGCAAAACAAGCTTTCATAGTACAGTACCATACTAAAATGTCATATGACAGGTTCTGTCATACGACACTGTCGCCGAAGACCGTCACGAATGTATATATTTTAGTTTTTATCATAATAAGAGCTGCTGATGGTGTGCTTGTGTGAATTCTGAAAATAGCAAGCAGTGATGTCCTAGTAATAATACTCATAAATGAGAAGACGGAGCACCGAAAATTAATGAGAACCATCCAACGTGCGGACGGTGAGAATTGTTTGCATTGCAATGCTGTGGTTGAAACGCTGCAACACAAATTCAGTGTTTGCCCTCGAGTAGCACACGCATGGGCTTTTGTACAACAGAAGATGACGATGATACTTGGAGGCTGGCAACGACTGTCTTTCGAAGAACTGCTGCGTCCAGCACTATTAAACATAGGACCAACAAAACGAAGTCAAACATTGAAGATGCTTATATTATACATCACCTATATTAATAAAGTTAACGTTAGAATCGATGTTAGTGCACTTGAATTCTACTTAATATGTGAAAGCTAAATTATTTTGTAAATAATCTTTTAAGAACATTGGAATAAACGATACAATTTTACAAAAAAAAAAAATAATAATAATATTGCTGATCAGAAATGGTTTGATTTACACCAAATTGAGGAATTACAAAGAAATCACACATGTCATATGATAGCTATTTTGATAATTTTCTTTTAGCTCGAATGTTATTTTACCGCTCGTGTTGTGTGAGAGAGACGACGGTAGAGCATGAGTGTTCGAATACAAACAGACTGTCGCGCACGACAACGAAGCGAGTGTAGTAAAAAACGTCGACTGTTTCAACCCCTGGTACCATGTCTCTGTCCATTTGGCATACTTTCCTGATAAATGGAAAAATGCAAAAGTTGTTCCAATTTTCAAACCGTCCAATAAGTTTGTTGATAATTTTGAATAGAATGATGCTTCAACTCAATATGAACTAAATTTTTGCAGATGAGCAGTTTGGATTTCGTCATGGGTAATCAACTACTGTTCAACTCTTAAGAGTTACCAATGCAATTTGTTCAAACAAATCTGAAGGCTGCTCAGCTGGAGTTGCTCTTCTAGACATAGAAAAAGCGTTCGGACGTGCTTGAATAGCATCATATGTCGTTATCAGATTAGTTCCAGATCGTGCCGCAGAGATGGCACCGTAATCCGGCTTTGCCGAATAAAGTTTTATATAGTTGCCTGTTATTTACATTATCAAATTAGTTTCAGATCGTGCATTAGAGATGACACGCAAGTCTAAAGGGTGATACGGTCAAAATTTGGTCAATATCAACATGACGTATTTCTTTCAATTTTGCATTTAAAAAACCTGAACACCCCTCATTTTGAAGGTGTGTGTGTGTAGAATGTTGCTCCTATTTTGATTTTGGAATTCACTCTTCAGTTGTCAAAATGCCGTCCAAGCAAGAAGAGCAGCGTATCAAAATTTTGCTCGCGCATCGCGAA